TGAAATGCAAACTTTTATTGCAATGCAAACACGACCACAGCAAATAATTTACCGGGAAGTTCCCGGTTGAATTCGCAAAAGCAATTTTTCGGTGGCTACATTTTTCGTCATATCTATGCATGTTATAATATTTGCAGCAAGCAGAAAATGTACTAATGTATATCCCCAATGAATTTCAGACGCTGGCCACCCAAAGCAGACATATGCCGTGGGGTGTGCAAGCTGCTATGTCGGTCCTAGTGCGCGGGATGGAGAACTTCGTGACGGTCACGCCCGCCGAGTTCCTGTTCGGCTACGACGACACGCTCGTCACGCTGGCCAACATCGCCAACACCCTGCTGCACATCAACTGGCCCGCGCCCCGCATCATGTCACTGCTCAAGGGGGTTAGTGTCACACTTGCGCAAAATTATCGCAGATTGCCAAACGTTTTGTTCTACTAAGTGTGAATACAGAGTTCACGAGACGCAAGCGTGATTTTCACGCTTCATAAGCTTTACGCAGACAATCAGGAACCGACTTTCATCACGCTTCCGTTTAGGGAACTCTTTATCCACCTTAAAAGTATTGGGCATTATTTAGCATTTTGTACGAGTACGTGTCAAAAACGCATATTTTCGTCTAGAGACAACTCGTCGCACTGAACTTTACGGCGTCAAAAACGCCACGAAGCTTGCCGAGTTGGCACTAATTTTCACTGTTATTTTCAGCGAAACGGCACCCTACCTGAGGTGCACACCATGTACACGGGACACACGTCGAGGGCCAGGATGGGCTTGCTGGACAGGCTCAACGGCCTGGACCATTTGCCCTTCTGGTCGGAGCCACCCTGCAACTCCATCAAGGCGTCGGAGGGTACGAAAAGCCCTTTCTCGTTTGCTCTGTCTTCTCTTTATATTTCTCTCACCCGCTCCCTACCCTGCCATCCCCCATCCACTGTTGAAATAGAACCTACAGGAAATTCTACAGTGAGCCCTGTCAATTTGTTACTACGTCCGCGACTGTAATTTTTGATTACGGTCCACTCCGTACAGGATGTACCGTAACTTCGCAAACCGTCTTTTTGGTCAATACAGCACTTGACATGACAGTAAAGTACGATCAATATCTTTACATTCCGGGTCGTACATAAAATATACAGGACGGACTGTAGGCAGACTGTACTTCCTTACATCTTTTTTAACAGTGTCCCTATCCGCGCTGAGCGCACTACCGCACCCTTGTTACTTGCTGACCGCTGCTACCGCTCTGTTGCTACCGCTACCCCAGTAGCTGCTAGCTGCTATTGCTTGTTGTTGCTACTGCTTGCTACCGCTATCAGACCAATGTGAATGCGATAATGTCACACACTACTTTGGGAAGAAAAAACTTTCTTTTGTACATTATAAATGCCAGGCTTGTAGCACACACTTTAATTGGGTTCGGTGTGGTACATTTTAGTCTGTGTGAATTTATTGAACGACCTTACACTGGACATCGAACATAGATTTTTGTGTTTAGAAATAACTTGGAAATGAGAGCAATCCTATCATAGAACACAGACATGAGTATAAAATTATTGTGTGCATTTGTAATGTACGGGAAAAGTAAATTTTCGGTAGTAAGGACTTTCCGTTCGGTCTGTGTCTTACCAAGAGTTCCATCAATCAAATCACTATGCTAGCCGATCAACTCAGCAAACGCACAATCGATGCCACATTAACTTAACGGTCATTGAGATTCCATTATTGCAGAGAAAGAGGCAGCAGCTGCAGCACTCATCCTTCACCAATCAGAACGCAGAGGAGAAGTGTGACGGGTAAACCAGAGAGTCCGCCCGGGCAGGCCCTCGGAGCGGAGCACTCGCACCCAGTGAGAAATGGTGATATCATACATCAGAACGATATCCACATCAAAAAGGCGTCGATTTTCGTTTCAAATCTATAAAAACGTCGTTCTGAAACTATTGACGAGTTTCTGAAGTCACCCCGATATCGCAATATTTTCTCACTCGGTCGCTCCTACTCCGGGGACCGACGCTCTGGTGCTTCGGGCAGCGCTGGGGCAGCCGGGTGCTTCGGCCGCTCTGGGCCTCGCCGAGGAGGCCGGGAGGCTGTACGAGAGGCTGGGCACCCGGGGCGCGACAGCACCGCCCGTCCCGGGACCTCGTCGTAACGCATCTAGTCCTGGCTGCAGGCTCCTTCTTCCCGCCGAGAGACATCACGCACGAGGACATCGTGGCCATCTACGACAAGGACCTGTGCCGCGCCTTCCCGCTGCAGTACCGTGGCCTCGTCGACAAGGAGGGCATCAGCGCGGGCTACTACACGCCGCCCGACACCATCTTCGCGCCGTCGGCCGACTGGCCCGACAACAAGTGCTTCTGCCAGCCCGGGGAGTCGCCCACCGCCCCCTGCGAGCTCAAGGGTCTGCAGAACATCAGTCCGTGCCACTACGGTGAGTCCATAGAACAACCACCCCGGTAAGAAATTACATCGAAGCACCGTCGGTCTTGCATTGCCATTCCAAAACGTACTGCATTAGAGCGCCCCAGCTATGACGTCATCAACCACGTCCCGAGCCTGTCCGCTAAACCCACGACTGCGTGTTGCAGATGCCCCCGTGTTCGTGTCGTTCCCGCACTTCTGGAACGCCGACGACAGCCTACTGAGGGCCGTCGAAGGCCTGACGCCCAACCGGGACCTGCACGAGACGTTCTTCAAGATCCAGCCAGTGAGTGAACGAACGCCTCTCGCCTCGCGGCCGCGAGTACAGACAACGACAACACCCAACACCCATCACCCGATCGACTTTGTTTTTCAGAAACTCGGCGTCACGATGGAGGCCAAGGTGCGAATCCAGCTCAACCTCAAAGTGGACCACGCACCCTACATCCACTCGGTCCACACCTTCCCTGAGATCGTGTTCCCCATCATCTGGCTCGAGGAGGTACGTACGTCGCATACACGACCAGTGAGAGGAATCCAATGTAGATTTCACACCGATCAAGTGGACCATCGTCGGTGCGATACCAAATCTCTCACCGAGTATGTGAGCTTGGCGCGATGCTCATGTCTGCTTTCCTCCCCCAGGGCGTGGACGAGCTGACGCCCGAGATCCACCGGTGGGTGTACATCGCCACCACGGCGGCCGACTTCATCATCCCCTCGGTCGAGTACTCCTTCATCGTGGTGGGCGCGCTCACGCTGGCCGCCGTGTTCGTGCGCACCTACAAGGGCGTCGTGTTCACCGCCGAGAACCTGGAGCGCGGCATGGAGGAGCTCCGCTGCGGCAGCCACCTGCTCGTCAACGCGGCCTCCAACGCGGCGCACGCGGCCTCGCACGCCGCGCACGCCGCCTCCAACCACCTGCACCGCGAGCATCGCGAGCACCGCGAACAGGCCTACCACCTGCTCCGGAGCACGTCCACGGCCACGCAGTCGTCGTCGTCCGAGGCGGACGCCTCCGAGCCGGCGACGCCCAGCCCCGCAGAGGGCGAGGAGGCCGAGAGGCAGCCCATGGTGGCGCCCGCCGCCCCGTGCCCCGTGTGAGGAGCCCCGGCTGTCCCTGGCGGCCCCCGGGTCGGGCCCGTCCCGGCTCGGCCATCTCATTCTAGTCGTTCAAGAACGCAGCACGCCCGCCCCTGCCCCGCGGACCCACCGCACACCGCACAACGGCGCCCTCGGCGCCCTCGGCGGCGGCCCGGCGGCCCGTCCCCGAGCTGGTCTCGGGGTGCAAGAGGACGTGCGGCACGCCTAGGCACGCCGACAGAGTCGCGGAGTGCACGGAGTGCAGCCGCAGCCCGGTGCACCGGAGGCCGCTGCAGGCCTTGCAGGCCCCTATCGACTCCGCGAGCTGTCCTCGTCGTCAGGCCCGGGTCCCCGACGCGTTCAGTGGCGGCCGTTTCGGGCTCCGCGGACCTCAGGAGACGCGGGGAAACGTGCGCGAAACAACCGTTTGCTCAAAAAAAATGAAATAAACCCCCACACACACTTGTTTAGGATTAAGTGAATATTCCGCTATTCAGAAGGGAAGTGTGGGATGGGTTGCCCACCCGCCCGGCGGTGGCAGCCGCGCCCGCAACAGTGTCGGTTGAGTTGCCTACCTCCACGGCGCGCTCGACCTCGGCAGCCTGCGCGGCAGCATCGAGTCAACTCCCCTTCGTTATTATGTAGGTCACCTGAGGAGCCAATATGCCCCTACAATTTCGTCTCTCTTTCTCTCTCTCATTTCATTTGCATCCTACTCCCCTGTAATTTATGACTGGGTGTACATGTGTGAATGAGCGCGCTGCACGTGCAGTGCACGTGCCCTTCACAGAGTAAAAAGTCTCGTTATTTATTTTTTATATGACTACCATTTAAGGCTCTTAGGGCGAGCAAAGGATCAAAATGCACAGGGCAATCATTGTGGATAAAATCTCAAAGCAAATTATTCATGTACTACTGCAGTAGTACTTTTTAAATTTGCAACTGAAAGGGGAACACGTCTCTAAGAAAAGTTGTAAGTGCAAATCCACATGTTCAATTAAAGAACATGAAAAGATTTTTGTTGCAGTTGATAATGTATTATTACTTGTGATTTGAAGTATACATGTAAGATTGAAATGTGATACTTTCTGTTATGCGACTGACGTGTTGTATTTTTTTTTTTTAGCTTTACATCTCACTTCCTCATTCATGAATGCCTTGTTTCCCATAGAGACTGATATAAAGGCTGTAGTGAAGTTAGCTTATGAAACAAGACAGCGCAAGTCCTTAAGGAAGTGGATGAAAAAGCTGTGCTTAAGTGCTCAATCTTTGTTACCCAACTATGCGCTCATTGTTACCATGTGTGAAGAAAATAAACTTAGTACATCAAAAACTCACCATGCTCACTAAGATTCCCTAGGAGATGTTAACTGATGACAGAAGTGTTTTAATTTACACCACAACCACATCACCTGAAGAAAATTCAAAGGAACACCAAGTTATTTGCAAAACAAGTTTAATTTTGTTTTCATTAATCGTTGTAAGCGGTTTAATGAATGAAACAAACATAAAATGAGATTTTGGATCACCATAAATTTTACCTACAATATGGAAAACTAGGAATAATTTATCACAGAATACAATAATACAGTGTAAATTTGAGCAGCACATGTTTCTTGCACCATGTTTGTCACAGCCCTCCAGGCATATGCAATAAAGGAGATTCAACCCTTAAGTATAATTTATTGCTAATTAACTAAATAATAAATTAAGATTCGGTCCCCTACCTCTTCAATGAAGAGTATCTACTCAAACATGGCACAGATTTGGCTTAGAATGCCAATCCTTAATATTCAGCTTATCGTCTACGTAAAATAAGAGCCAAAAGGAAAGATATACCTGCTGACACAAGAACTGCTCCATATATAGCTCTTCTTTCTTTCTTAGACTTTACACTTGCAGATCTGGTCTTTCGGCATTTCTCAGGCCTCATCTAGATAGATATTTGAAAAAATGTAAATAGTACATTCAATATCAAGACATTCTGGAGCTGATAAAAAATATTCTTTATGAATAGATAACTTACAGGATCAAGTTTTAACAGCATTCCGTGCAACTGTACTTTCAGTAACTCTGCTTGAGCAAGAGCTTCTTTGGTCAAGATTTTGGCTCCAACAGCAGCAGAGTGATGAGGGTCCAGGACATTATTTCTGACACTGCTAGAGTTCAGCCTTGATCGATAATTCCGCAGAAGGATGACAAGATTATTGATGTGTTTGACAGTGTGACACATGACAGGAATAGTTTCTTGCACACTGCAAAAGTAAATATGCCAAATAAGAAAATACACTCAACTTCCGTAGAATATGTGAAAACAATCAAATTATACCTCATTGTCGCATCCAAAACATCATCCTGCAGCCCTCGAGAAGGGCTGTTTCCTACTCTCTTCTTTCTGATGTTGTAAATGCCATGAGCAATGTCTTTCCTGTGCGCTTTGTCCTCTATGCCAATAACTTCCAAGTCATCCTCGCTTAGGGTAAGGAACAAATTAAGACCTATGTCTGCATCTTTGAAAAGATTCAGGTACTGCACCATGTTCATGCCAATAATTATAGAGGCAACAGTTTTGTCAAATATCTCACTGTTGAAGTATGCAATGATCAGACAAGAATCAAAATAATTGAAATAAAAATAGGAGTGCGTGGTAGATGACATACCCATCTTCATCATCTGACGGTAAGTCAGCAACAACAGATTCCCACGCCAACATTTCATCCTGACGTTTCCTATCAGAGAAGTCGTGAGCGGTTGGAGTTGAACAAGAAATTGTGACATCAGATACAAGATCTGGATCTGCCTTTACAACCCTGACAGGGCTTCCCATTGGTCTCTCTCCATACTTCTTGACTTCTTCCACTTGTCCGTTCATGACTGAGCAAGTCCTGTATCAAAACCTGCCGGATAAAGGAATGCAAAGAATTTTAATTAAAAATGACAACTTTTAAAAAAAAACAAACAAAAAAACAATACAAATCCGCCGCAAAAATAAACATCAGTATAAGAGAGTACATCGCTGACGTGCGATCAACTTGAACGGCGGCGAGAATTCGTCACTGCTCAACGCACCTTCAGATAGGGAAGCGAGCCGTCTTAACCTCACACAGACCGAACCACCAAAATAAACAGCCGGATTAACCTAGGATGCCCGAGGTGCCAGCGGCAGACACTCACCTCGGAGATGAACCAATCGAGGAGCCACGCCCACCGGCTACACTACATCAAACAGCGGATAATTTTCCTCCAAACTTCGGCGTCCCTTTACAATCGTCTTGTGACCCTTACCGCGTAGAGCCACCTGTTAACAAGCAGTTTGGATTTGCGATTGAATTCCGGGCGGCGCCGAGGCTATGGGGCGGGGGGAGTGAGTGGACGACAACATTCCCGCCACATTCGGGACATTTGGTGGAGCCATCACTCTGGAACAAGCTTCGGCCTAGGGCAGGACCTGAACCTTTTCAAACGGTTTCGATCCACTAAAGATCGGCAGCTTCGATGCCGGTCGGTGAGGACTCCGCCTAGTTTCACGTTGTGATGAGACTTTTGTGCGGGATGTTTTCTGTCCCCATGCCCAACGCGACTGGCAAAACTGAAGGAGTGGGGCGAGGGGGGGG